CCGGTGGCCAGCGAACGCTGAAGGGGCGGCTCTGAGGGGAAAAAAACCCCACAGACGCCCTCTGTTTTCGTGTAGTTACAGAACTCGGAGAGAGGGGACCTCTTCCCTTCGCACGTACAGAGATAGTCCAGCCAGTGTTTCGTGTTGGCTCCTGCTGCGTACTTGTCAAAAATGCTGTGCTTCTGCTCACTGCTGCTTTCAGCATTGTTGGCCAGGTTTGGTCCAGACACTAAATGAGGATTATTTTTCTTAAGAAAACAAAGATGGTGCTTGTGGGAACCGTTCAGGGTTCACAGTTAATGCTTGCTCATGGAAGATCAAGGTTTACACAATTATAAAATAATTTAAAAAAAACCTGTATAGGTACAGTCTCCTGTCGAGACTGGTGCCAGGAAGGAGTCTGATCAAAGCTTTGAGGAGCAGAAGTTTGGATCCCAGGAGCGGTTCTGGCTCCTCGTCCCCACGCTGTCGCTCTGGTTCAGCTTCTCCAACTGTGACCTTGGGGAGCACGGTCAGCAAACCGCCCCGCTGCAGATCACAGAGTCATCAAGGCTGGAAAAGACCTCTAACATCACCAAGTCCAACCGCCAACCCAACACCACCCTGCCTGCTAAACCACATGTCCTGAAACGAGTGACAACAGCCAAGATCAAGTGAAGAAAAAAATGACATTTAATTCCTTTATTACCTTTCCAACATACATTAAAACGTACATTTGCAATGTAATTTTTCTTCTTCCTGTGCTTGCCATATCACCAATACACCAAGAGTGGGGCAAGCTGCTCCCAGACAGTTCTTGTTTTAAAGCCTTCAGGCTCATGCTGGTTGTTAAGGTTCTTAACGATCAAAATAATTCTCTTCATTAAAATAAAAAAAAGGTGATTACTTTTTTATTAATACACATCCAAACCATACAGAGAGAAGAAAAAATTCTGCACAGTATACAAATGTTTGGACAAACACACAAAGCAGAAACAAAGAAAATGGAAACACACCTCAGAAACCAAGCCCACACGGAGGGATTGCACAGTTTGGCATTCAGTGTCACCGCACCTTGCGTATGTGAGGTGGCCTAACGCAACAGCCATGGATCCTGCCACACAGTTTATGGCAACTGAAAGAAAATTTGATTCTCATAAAATTAAACTTTGCCTATGCTGTTATCAATTTTTTCAAAAAAGCTGTCAAATTAACTGAGAAAATTTCCCTGCTCAAGAGGCATACAGACATCTTCAAAACAGGGTACTGCTTTGCTTTTACTTAAATATATTTATTACCAACAATATATTCCCTTTCATGTAATAGACAGAATTCTCTCCTGGTCACTAGAAAACTATTTACAGTTGCACTCTGCTACAAGCCACCGGACCTGCAACTCACAATTTGTATTCAAACGCGATCCTCCAGCATCAAGAAGATTGTCACCATTACAAGCAAGACTCGGCTTTACCTCAGAAAGTGACAGCAGTCAGTCTCGCTTTGTTTCAAGTCCGGTTGCTTTGACGGGCAACCATATGCCATCGCAAAAGCTCTTCTGTTTGTGGAAAAAGGGTTTCTCCGAGATCTCATCTTGAGATGGTGGATTCTATGAAAGCCACCTGAGGTGCTACCAGGTCATTAAAAGAAATTACCTCTGAACTGCATGAAGAGGTTTCTAAAGCATTTACTTTTCACACGCCTAAACGAGATTGGTTGAAAACTTTTATTTAATATGCAGTGGACTGTCCAGCACCACAGACCACTTCAGAAAAATGTATCGCCACAAGCTGAAAAACAATGATAAAAGTTCATCAAGATTTCCATCGTTTTCTTCTAAAGAGAAGCACTGAAATGTCTGGGAGATGTTCAGGTCTGCAGCATTCCAAAGGCAATCACAGCGGGATGTCACATAAAAATATGTATCTAGCTATAGCACAAAAATATCAAATAAATGCAAACAAAGGACTTCAGCTTTCTTAATAAATTTTAAGATATATTTAGTATCTGTATAAATATATATGTAGAAGTAATCTATTGAATTCTGCAGATAACAAACGGTGTGTAACGAAAAGAAAACATTCCAGAGTTGAAGTCTGCTGAAATCAAGTATCACTGAGTGTGAGTGAAGGCTGCAATTTCTTTCTTCATTTCCTAGTAAGAAAAAAAGACAAACCAGCAGTCAGCGTGAAGAAAAGCTCAAGCACCCTGTTTATTTCTTCATCAAAAGAATAGAGAATCTGTACATACATACAACTGTTAGAAGTATTTAGCAAATACATGTGCTCCCACCACCAGCACAGTGTCTGTCCTTCCAGCGTCTCTCTAGCTTCAAACGCATCCTTATGCATCCAAACTAGAGAGCAGGCCAGAGGGAGCGTAGGGATCTGTATCAGCAGTGGCTTCACCAATTAGAAAGAGGAGACAGTTCCTGAAAAGCCACAGCTAAAAGCTGGAAATTCTGTTTTCTGCATTGAATAAGGACTTGTTAAAGTCTCTCTCTTCGTACGGTAGAGCTTGCCCCTGACTGACTTGCGCAGTCAAGGATCTGAGGATCCTGAAGCGGAAGGCTGAAGATCCAATCCATCTAAATCACCTCAGTACTGGGAATGCCTGACTGGGACCACGGGTGCCTCTGGAAGATTTCTGCCGAGTTCTGACAACTCAGAAATCCTCTGTTACAGGAAGAGATCTGAGCATTTGACTCATCAGCATTAAATCAGCATGGTTTTGCAATATGGATCAATTTCTTCCAGACTGAAATGAAAAAGTCTCGAAACACAGGCACCTGAGCAGTACAGAGTAGTGCTACATAGGCATGACGTCCGGAGCACACAAGTACATACCCGTAACACACACATGCGTCACAGTGATAGAAAGGGCTAGAAGACAAAAAAAATTTACCTTCACCAATTCGGTTTTGTCGTAATCTTCCCGATGGCGGTAAATGCACTGACTGAGAATAGCATACAGTCTTTCCAACTGAAATATATTGAAGTTCTTTGTTGTCACAGTGACAAAATGCAGCAGTTGCTGAAGAAAAAAAAATGGAAACTGCAAGTTTAGAATAGCACAGGATCCTTTGAACAAGCTCTTCATGTTTTCAGAAGCTAAACAATAACAGTACAACACAAGTGACATCCTACTTTCTTATATTGTTAAAATAGGAGTGACAGTTCAGAGAACAGATTAAATCTCTCACAAGATGTAACTGGAGAAAATGCGTTCATTTTTCATACTTCAGAGAAAAGGATGGCTTAAATTGCAGACAATATTTCATTACTAATCAATCACATCAACGATCGTCACTGCGAATCAATTGCTGCCAGAACAGCAGGCAAGGACACAACCCACTTTGTTGTAGAGTCGCTGCCACAGCAAAGCCACTGTTGAATTTCGTTAGAGTCACTGCTGCTCAGGTCACCGTAAAATGGATCTTGGGGAGGGAGGCTACACATCCTCTAGCTACAGCTGTGCCGGCTGGAAACGGAAGCATCCTTGGGTGCTCCCCGTTCCCCAGGAGCCGAGCACGTCCTGTGCCTGCAGCTCTGCTGGCAGAACGCACCGCCCAAGGGGCTGAGGCAGGTCGGGAAGCACAGCTGGATCAGTCACCTCCTACCTTTAACCTGGATAAACCAGCAAAGTGGCTCTGCCTGTAGCAGATCACCAGCTCTTACACAGTCCTTTCTGTTCCCAAAGGTGTGAATGGGATTGCCTCTGGGAAAGCAACCCCAACAAGCCAGCGGCACCACCTTCTTCCACTGCGGCCGCTGTTCAGTGTCTGCGTGTTGTGTGAGGCTGTAAAGACGTAGCTCAAGATAGCAGCCACTCCAAAGGAAAATATTACTGCCTTGCCACTGCCTGTCATCAAACTCTGCCTCCCTCAGATCAACCAGCACAGAACCTGAGTATTCCCCTCAGCTTCATTCCACACAACATGCAGGTTAAGACGCACACAAAACACGCAGTGTGCGTTCAGCTGCTGCAAACAGAAAAGGCAGGGTGTGACAGAGGTGTATGGTCAACGTCCCGCGTGAAACTAGTTCTAACTGCTGCCACACAGACAACCGCATGCTCTTCTCTGTGTTCCTAAAATTCTAGTCCTACTGCCAAGCAAAGAAACAAAAAAACACCCCCCCCCCCCCCCCCAAAAAACCCCAACACCTCCACAT